CACTCTGAGCCCAGTCATGGAAAGCAAGGGTCAGTAGGAGAACCCTATGTTTTCCCAGGAGGGACTCCCTTATGCCAGAATACTGCCATAAAACTACAGGAAAGGTAGAAGCCTGTCCCCAGTTATGCTTCAAATCTCCCCTTTGCCTGCAACTAGCTTTCTTGTGGTTTCAACATCACCAGTTGCAACAGCTTTGCTCGCTATCACTATCGAGACCCTACTTCTTACCCAGCGCTATTCAAGATTTTAATCTCTAATTACCTCTAAAAATTTGGAAGCTAGAATTTAGAATGAAGTTATTATCGGGTTGGGATTGCAGGCTTGCTGCCCTCATAATAAAATCTCCTGGCTGCTCTCTGAGAAGAGTTGTTTACTACTGGTGAGAGGCTGGTTGAAACGTTCACTGTCTGCCCTTCTTTCTTTGCTCAAGGACCAGAGGCAGGAAGAACAGGGATTTCAAAGGCAAAATAGGGCATTAAAAGTGATGGCTAAATAATGGTAGGGTGGCCTCACTGACAGCCAATGATGTTGCCAAACAAATCCAAACACCTAAGAATTCATCTCATAAAGAGAGTCATTTAATGCCATTTTTATTAGACCATCACCATCTAAATCAGGAGTAGGAAACCCTTCCAAAGTGGCATGGAAAGATATTCTCTCTTGGGGGACCCTCTGAGTGAAAGGAATCTGTCAACTTTATTCATTTGACTTTCTTACTAAAATGTAAATACCTCTGAAAAAGTCTAACCTTTAGCCCTTTCCAGCTCACTGACACCTTGCTTACCAATTGACCTTTCAGCAAGGATTTATGGGCCTGATAGAGGTCAGATGCAGTCCTGGTTGGTTTTTCTTTGTTACAAAAGATCATTCTTTAGATAGGAAGGATATCTTGAAATAACTGGTGACATAAAAATATAAGATATCAATAAAACTTACTTTAAAAAAAAGAAAGAAAGAAATGAAGGTCAAAAGAAGGAGGAGAAGGGTAGGTACCAAGAGGTACCTACTTCAAAATTTGGCTTAGTACTGAGCCAACCTGGCAGCCTCACTAGGGCTACCAAAAGTCACCACAAGTGTGTATGTGTGATAGATTGTTTACCTCCATTTTAAAGCAAACCTCCTTAGCTTCAATATATGAGAGAGTTGGGAGTTTGCAACTTTTAAGAACCCAGCCAAGTCTCTCATTGCCATAGCAATAGTTACTGATCCATTGCATGAATAGTGTCAGCCTTGCTCCATGTTTTAAGCAATCAGTCAATAAACATTTAGTAAATGCCTATTATGTGTCACTGTGCTAAGGGCTGAGGATACAAAAAGAGGCAAAAGATGGTCCCTACTCTCAAGGAGCTCACAATCTAGTGGGGGAAGACAACACACAAATATGTACAATCTGTATACAGGATAAATAAGAAATAAGAGAGGGAAGGCACTAGAATTAAGAGAGGTTGGCATTCTATAGAGCAATTTGGAACTATGCCCAAAGGGCTATAAAAACATGCATGCCCTTTGACCTAGTAATACCACTACTAAGTCTGTATCCCAAAAGAGATTTTAAAAAAAAGAAAGAAAGAAAGGAAAAGGACCTACATGTACAAAAATATTTAAAGCAGCTCTTTTCTGGGGGCAAAGAATTAGAAATTGAGGGATTCCCATAAATTGGAGAATGACTGAACAAATTGTGGTATGTGAGTATGATGGAATGCTACTGTACTATAAGAAATGATAAGCAGGATGCTATCAGAAAAACCTGGAAAGACTTATAATGAACTGATACAAAGTGAAATGTACTGTGTTTAAAGTAACAGCAATATTGTAAGATGATCAGCTGTGAATGACTTAGCTATTCTCAGCAATACAATGATCCAAGACAACTCTGAAGGACTTATGATGATAAATGCTATCTATCCCCAGAGAAAGAACTGATGGTGTGTGAATATAGATTGAAACACTTTTTTTTTTTACTTTCTTTATTTTTCTTGGGTTTTTTGTCTATGTTTTCTTTCACAACATGACTATTATGGAAGTGTTTTTTTAAAAATTAAGAGGGGTTTGGAAAGGTTTCCTGTAGAAGATGGAATTTTGGTTGGGATTTGAAGGAATTCGGGGAAGCCAGGAGGCAGAGATGAGGAAGCAGAGCATTCCAGGCATGGAGGACAGCCAGAGAAAGTGCCTCAGAGCCAAGAGATGGAGTGTCTTCTTCATAGAACAGCAAAGAGGCCAGTGTTTCTGGATAGAAGTGTACTTTGCAGGGAGTAAGGTATAAGAAGCCTAGAAAGATAGTAATGGGGATAGGTCATAAACGACTTTGAGCATCAAACAGAGGATTTTGTATTTGATCCTAGAAGCAATATTCAATTTTTTAGAAGGGAGGTGACACGGAACATTTGAAGCACAGAAAATACGGGAAGCTAAATATAAAATAGGTTGTTGTTGTTGTTGTTGTCCAGTCATTTCCGTTGTGACTGACTCTTCATGACTGCATCTGGAGTTTTCTTGGCAAAGTTACTGGAGTAGTTTGCCATTTCCAGCTCATTTTACAGATGAGGAAACTAAGGCAAAGACAGTAAGCAACTTGCCCAGGGTCACATACCTAGTAAGTGTCTCAACTTGGAACTCAGGTCTTTCTGACTCCAGGCCCAGTGTTCTATCTCTGCCTTTGATGCTAACTTCTTAAGATATTCACCTAGACTAGGAAGTATAGAATATTTCTATTTACAAGATTATAACTGTCCCAAGTAGTCTCTAGTGAGTTTCTTTATCAGTGACAAAGGGAAGCCTCCACCGGATCTCTCCAGGACTCTGACCATGATCTGGCTAATTCTTTCCGGGATCCACATAGGCAGAAGGGAATCCCCCCCCCCTTATAAGTCTCTTTGCTTTGGGGTTTTTTGGCACTCAAGCAACTAAAATGAGCTATGAGGCACCAAGGGCTCCTGTCTTTGGGTGCTGTAACTGTGTGTAAATTGTGAGATGGAACAGCACCCACTGAAAGTGAAGACTCCCTACTTTCTCTAGCTTAAGTCCTCTAATGGGCCACAGTCTAGGACTTTCTACTTTCTTGTGACACTGAAACCACTTGCATTCATACAAACACAAATCTTTATCTGTTTTTTCAATGGCTCTACTATGTCTCTGCATGGTGTGGGTTTGTTCATGGACATAGTACCTAGATGGGAGGCATTGAGGAGACAGGGACCATAGCTATTTATGTTGCTCCATTAAATGTCCAACACTAGGGCACTTCATCAACAGTTTTGTCCAATGATGCTGACATCCATGGTGATAGCAGCAACCATGAGCATGATGAGACTAAGAAACTGAGTCATTCTTATCTAATGGATGGTCTTTGAAAGGAAATCCTTCAACAAAGCTAGCTCCTTGGTCATACATGACTTCCAAAGAAAAAAGTTTCTCCAAGTGACATCTTTAGACCACCTTGAATTTAGACATCAGACTAAGCCCTAATCTCAGTATCCCCAGTAGCCACTGCAGAAGAACCAGAGTAAACAAAGGCCCTGAGGACAGGGCCAAAGTGCTTAGGGTCATAGATTTATAGTTAGAAGGGACCTTAGAGGCCATCATGTTCCACTCCCTCATTTTATGGTTGAGGAAACCAAGGCCCAGAGAGATAAGTGACCAGCCCTGAGTCACACAGCTAGTAAATGTCCGAGGCTGAATTTGAACAGAGGTTTTCCTGATTCCAAGTCCGGTACTTCATCCACTTCATCACGCTGCCTTTCAGACCTGGTATGGCTGGATCGTAGCATGCCTTTTATGCCAATTTTCTGAGATGTTCATCTGGGTAATTTAGATTATAGGCCTCATAAGCAGAATAACCACCCAGGCCGGGGTTGTTGAGACCAGTCAGTCAATCAGTTAACATTTATTAAGTGCCTACTATGTGCCAGGCACTGTATTAAGCACAGGGAACACAAAAAACAACAAAAAAAAAATTCCCTGCTATCAAAGAGCTCACAGTCTAATAGGAAAAACCACATGTAAACAACTACATACAAATCGGTTACATACAGGATAAACTGGGAGTAATCTCAAAGGGAAGCTACTAAGGTTAAGGAGAGCAGAGAATGGCTCCTTGCAGAGGGTGGCATTTTAGCTGGGACTTGGAGAAAGCCAGAGGAGACCAAGATGAAGAGGGAGAGCATTCCAGGCATGGGAGTCAGCCAGTGGAAGGGGCCCAGAGTCAGGAGATGGATTGTCATGTTGTAGGCATAGCAAGGTCTTTGAAAGCCAGACCAAGGATTGTTATAAACAGAAGCTCATTCTGAATCAGAGACATGAAGATACTACTCAGAGGGAAAACAGGGCAAAATTGCAGGCAGTACGATGAGATGTTATTCTATCCTCCTCTATGTCCCAGGATCCCATCCTCAGGATCTCTCAATGCTTTCTCAGGCTTCAGTCCCTGCCTCTTATTCACTCATTCAACAAACATTTATTAAACCCTTACTGTGTTTAGGGAACTATGTTATGCTCTGAATATATGTACAAAGATCAAGTCGAAATAATTCCTGCCCACAGAGAGCTCACATTCTATAACATGTACAAAGAAATATAATACAAGGTAATTTGGGGAGAGAGAGACTGATAAAACCTGGGGGCATCAGGAAAGGCTCCAAAAGGAACTGGCACCTGAGCTTAGCCTTAAAGGAAGATAAGAAGACTGAAAAATGGGGGAAGCCAGGTGGCACAGTGGATAGAGTACCGGCCCTGAATTCAGGAGGACCTGAGTTCAAATCCAACCTCAGATACATAATACTTACTAGCTGTGTGACCCTAGGCAAGTCACTCAAACCCACTGCCTAGCCAAGAAAGAAAGAAAGAAAGGAAGGAAGGAAGGAAGGAAGGAAGGAAGAAAGAAAGAAGAAAGAAAGAAAGAAAGAAGAATACTGAAAAACAAAGATGAAAAAGGAACATATTCCAGGCATGGGAAAAACACTATAAGCATTCATTCCCATATTCCAAGTCTCATCTTCCAATCCCAGTCAGTCCAATGACTTCTTATTGATAGAGTCATTTACCTAAGTTGCTGAGAAAATCTAAACTGACAATACTCAGACAGCAGCAGAAACAGAAGAAGAGGCAAAGGAGGAAGATGAAATATGGTGGCGTGCCAAGAATTCCTTGCTGACCACACCATGGGCAGCCAGGATTTTGAGGAAGCTGTACCGAAACTTCTGTCCAATGAAGACATAGATAATGGGGTTGAGGCAGCTATGGAGGAAGCCCGGAGGAAGCCCAGCACTTCAGTGATATCCATGGCTTGTTCGATCGCCTCCCTTCGTGGACAAGTGTCCTGCACCATGTTGGTCCTCATGAGGGTGTCAGTGATCAGCACCAGATTGTAAGGCAGCCAGCAAACTAAGAAGACAAGGACTACAGCAAAGATGACCCGCATAGCCCGATGCTTCTGCCCCATGTGCGCCACAGAGAGGGTGCGCAGGGTGAAGCTGTAGCAGAAGAGCATGACGAATAGTGGCAGGACAAAGCCAAAGAACTGGGGAAGGATCCTCAGTACCAGCCGCCATTTTTCAGTATTGTTACCAAAGTTCTCATAGCAGACAAAGCCATCGTGCTGTGCTTTGACTGCTTCACGGAAGAAAAGAATGGGCATAGACAGGAGCAAGGACAGGACCCAGATGCCCATGCAGATGAACTTTACCCAGTGGCGCTTTTGGGTCAAGGCGCTAGTGGCATGGACAATGGCTAGGTAGCGGTCTATACTGATGCTGGCCAGCAGCAGAATGCCGCTGTAGAAGTTGATCTCCTTCAGAAGGGAGACAAACTTGCAAAGAAGTGTGCCAAAAATCCAGCCTTTCACCTTGGAGGCAGCCCAAAGGGGCAGTGACAGGGCAAAGAGCAGGTCGGCTATGGCCAGGTTAAGCAGGTAGATGTCTGTGACTGAGCGGCTGAGCCGGTTGTAGAGGATGACCAGCATCACCAGTGAATTTCCCAGCAAACTCAGAAAAAACACAAGATTGTAAATAACCATTACAAAGTGCTTGTCCATTCTCCAGTAGTTGCAAGGAGCAGCATCTGTTGATACGAAATCAGTATAATTGTCAAATTCGGAACCCCAAATGTCATCACTTAGGGTGAATAATGTAGACAGGACCTGCTGAAAATATCAGAAAGAAAGATAATGTAATCAAATTCCTTGAGTTCAACGAATTCCTGTTAATAATGGTTGTGAGTACATTGTAAAGAATGGACAACTTGAAAAGCCTTAGGAAGTCTGATTAATGCAATGACCAACTGTGACTATAGAGGACTGCTGATAAAGATATTACCCACCTCCTCACAGAGAGGTGATGGCCTTAATATGCAACATACATATATGGACACAGCCAATGTAAGAATTTATTTTGTTTGACTGTGCATATTTGCTATGAGTTTTCTTTTACCTTTTTTTCTTTTTAGTAGAAAGTAGGAAGAAAATAAACACTTGCTAATTTCAACTTTTTAACTTAATTTTTAAAAGAATGGGTGCACATATGTATGTGTGTGTTGCTTTTCTTTTCTTTTTCTCTCTTTCTTTTTTTCTTTTCTCAGAGAGATTGATGAGGGGCTTTCTACAAAGAACTGGTGCCTCTTGTGGCCAGCACCTTTTATACTTTATTAACTGAGTGCCTCATCTTCAGAATGGGATAGAACTAAAAGCAAGAAGAAAACCTTAATCCAATAGATCTCTTTGAACCACAGCCCTTGAATTATACACCCCCCCCAACACATCTCAGCCCTGCTTTTAGCCCCTCTCTCACCTGCACTTCTATTTCCAACAAATGAATAGAATCAGGAAGTTAAGAAATGTCCAACAGATCCAGAACAAAACCAGCCCTAGAAAAAACTATTCAGTGGCCAAAGGTGACCCTGGTCTCCTTCCCTTTCCTATATTCTTTTGTCCTCTGTGATTTCTACCCCCTTCAGATGCCAGGAAATTACCATGATCTCTTATCCCTATCAAGTCTTACTCTCATGGAAGAAATTGCTATTCATCATTTACACTTCAATGGGGGGGGTGCATTTTAAATTTTTTCCCTATTTGAGAAATAATAGGCTATTTTCTATTAAAGGAAATGCATGCATTTGGGGGGATAGGACACTACCTCCCACCTGTCCCATGAAATCGAGTTTTGTCGAAAAGTAGCCATGTAAGTAGGGAGAATGTTAGAACTCAGATTTAAAAGACAGTGGCTTTGCCACTGACCAACTGCTATGACCTTGAACAAGTACCTTGTCAGGACTTCAGTTTTCTCAGTGAACTCTAACATTCTGTGAGTCTATGATAAATTTATTTCAACCAATCGTAAATTACATAAGGATTTCATTCATTCATTAATTCACATAATCATAGTAAGTAAATCCTACTAATTCTATGTTCTAAGGGTTACAAACCACTTTTACTCACAACCCTGAAAGGTAGAAAGACCAAGAATCATTATTCCCATTTTACAGATGAAAAAATTGAGGCTTAGAGAGCCTCAACAGACACTTCTTGGACTCGGCAGAAAATTTTCATTTGAATAGAAGACAAAATCTTAAGACAAAGCAGAAAGCATCTAATTGTAACATTTGGGACATCTTTAAAAATGAGAAATAATTTTTTGGATATGACCTTCTCAGTGCCACCAATTCCACCTTCACATGAAGCCAACTCTAATCTCTGGGTCCACATGCCAGGAAACAATTAAATAGAAAGCAAGAGGGGGAAATCAATCCCAAGGGAAATTTCCTAAAGCCCAGAAAGACCCCAAAACCATAGCTGACTTCTTACCGGCATTTTGTATACAGCTTCTCCTCCCATCCTCCCAGGATAGACTCACAGTAGAGCTTTGAAAAAAAAAGGAGTGACTTTACATCTGGGCGGAACATGATGCTTATAAAGGAAAACCACAGACTCACCCATCCCTCCCTTCTGGGCTTTGCCCCACCTCTGGAGAAGGAAAAGAGGACCTAGACAGTCCTCTCCACTTCTCTATTCAAAAAAAATGAAGAGGGGTTGATGCTGGAGAGAGAGAGCTATGATGGGGCCAAGCATATGTTTGGCCATGACCCATGCCTTGGTAAGTGGGAGTCAGCACCAATGCAGTGGAAAGGAAAAGACTAGATTTGTAGTCTGAGGACCCTGGATAGAATCTCAGCTCCACCATTTTAAAATTGTGTGACGTTGGGAAAGTCATTTCCCCTAGTCTTTCTTATTCATAAAATGAACACTTGGAAGGTCCCCTCCAGTTCCAAATCTATGATCCTGTAATCTCTTTCCAATGCTTGTGTCCTTGGGCTATTCTGACTCTTGAACTCGCACCTGAAATCTGCCTAAGGTCTTCCTTTAGACTCTGTTACAGAAATTTCCACATTCACCACCAGCTCCTTCTGGTGCTGTCTGACTGACCCTGCTATTTCCCAGCTGACTCAGGTAGAATATTAGAAACAAACATATCTATAATGCCTTTAAGGTCCTTCCCCCCACTGCCTCAACATTCCTGTGAGCTCAGTAGGACAAATATTGTTAGCCCCATTTTACAGAATGGCTTGAAACTGAAGCTTAGAAGAGGGCAGGGCCCATTCAACTCACGTGTCCAGACTCCAAGTCCAGAACTCTATTTTCCCTTGTTATCTGAAAGCCAGCGTTACACCAGAGAAACAGGCAGCAATTCCCTTACAATTCCAAGAAGCCTTCCTTTAGCCTTTGTTCCCTGTCCCAACCCCAAAGACAGTTCTTCCACTGACACCAGAAATGCTTTCAGCAGCTAGCTATCCATTCATTCTTTGGGATAAAACAGTGCCCACTCCTAGGGCCCTCTTAAAATCAAACCTCTCTAGTGAGTAACATTCATTCCTTAACAGCTTAAAGCAATGGAAACCCTTCAGAAAAGACAGAAAGAGAGGGAAAGCATAGCAAAAAAAAAAAAAAGGACTTGCTTAGAAAACAAACTGCTGGCTTCTCAATTGTTCTGAGAGCCCACCCTACTCAAAATTGAGTTCTGGTACTGTGTACCCCTAAATCACGAGTTCTTCACCTTTTTTGTATCATGGGCCTCTTTGTCCATCTGGTGAAGCCTAGGGACCCCTTCTCCTAGTAATGAAGGTGGAAGGCTCTGCCAAACCTAAAGTGAACTTCATGAAAATCCTAGCAATCCACTAGCCTGAGCAGTGTCCAGCAGCCTCGCCTTTCCCCTATACCCTTTAATGCTGTCCTTTTTTTCTTTTCTTATATATTTCTATTTGATGAGACAAAAGAGGTCATTTTTTCTGCCTGATATCCCATTGTTCTGCTTTGTAACCTGCCACAAGGCAAATCTTTCCACCTTCTTTAAAGAAATAATCAGAATCTAAGAGCGCAGCCCACGTAGACGAGATTAATGATGACAAATACTCTTCTCAGTTCTTATCTCAGCTTCTTTGCCAATTCTCCCACAGTTTCCGGGCCCTACTGGTGCCTCAGCTTCCTTTATCTCTAGCCTTGAGGAATATGTTTACTCACCATTACAATTAAACCAACCAAATATTCACAACCACAGACAAGCAACTGATTTGTTCAAGAGTCCTAGTTAGGGGGCAGCTAGATGGCACAGTGTATAGAGCACTGGCCCTGAAATCAGGAGGACCTGAGTTCAAATTCGGCCTCAGACCAAACATTTGACACTTACTAGCTTTGTGACCCTGGGCAAGTCACTTAACCCCAACTGCCTAATAATAAAAATTTTAAAAATAAGTTAAAAAAGAGTCCTGGTTAGGTCAAGGGTTGTAGTTGCAAGATTATTCCAGCAGGGGGAAGCATTAACTGTAAATGCAACGGAGGACAAAGGATTTCTAGGGTCAGACCCATACCCGCTCCTCCAGGATGAAACTTTCCTCTAAAGTATCTTTATGCCTGGGAAGGCCCTATGGACATATGACATAAGATCACAAATTCAGAAAACCTTTGAGAGTTCCTACATAAATGAAAAGTAATAATTTCATGAGCCTTGTTTGATGATTTTCTTTTTATCTCATTTTCTCAAACATCCTCAAACATTTCTCAAACATCATAAGCATCTCAAACATCCACATTTAAAATTAAGAACCAGAAACATAAAACTCTATTCAGTAAATATCAAAAAAATTTTTTTAATTCCATTTTCTATCGTAGCCAGTTAAGGAAGAGACGGAAAGAGGGAAGAGAATGAGGAAGAGGGGAAGAATAAGAAAAGGAAGAAGAAGAAGAAGAAGAAGAAGAAGAAGAAGAAGAAGAAGAAGAAGAAGAAGAAGAGAAAAGAAGAAGAATGAGGAGGAAGAGGAGGAGGAGGAAGAAACATCCTTCCCTAGACACTATTCTCTTCTATATTTTAATTCTTCATGATAGAACTCAAGCTCTTTAAGGGTGGGAATTGACATCTCTATTTGCATACTTAATGCTCAGCACCATGTCTGACATGTAGTAAACACGTATTAAATGCTTTTCATTCATTCTATACCTGTATGCGTGATTTGTTTTTAAACCTAAGTATAGTGCTTTGCATTTATCTCTAGCAAGCTTCATCTTATTAGATTAGGTACATAATTCTAGCCTGAGATTTTTAGATCCTGATTCTGTTGTACAATGTACAGCTATCACTCCCAGGGTCAAGTTATCTGAAGAACCGATGGGCTTTCATCTTAGTATTCATTTTTTTAAATGGAATAAACAAAATTGACCAAAATAGGATTGAAGATAAAAATTTAGGATGTTCTACTAGAACCTGAAGGTTCAAATTATTCCATTAATCTAAGTATATTGTATTTTTAGCATTCTCCTTCTTCTTTATGTCTAGTAATACTAAAAAAAGGGAAATGAGAATAATCTAGTCTATCTTAATCTTGATAAGCTCACATTGACTCTTAGTGATCACCACTTCCTTTCCTAAGTATTTACAAGTCATCTCATACATTCTAGAAATTTGACTTGCAGTTCAAATAATTTATCTTCTTCCTTTTTTATAAATCTGGGTACTGTAGTCCTTCACTAGCTGTCCATTATTTTTTCAGAGACCACCAGCAGCTCAGCCATCACATCCACATATTATTTCAGGACCACAGGATGTCATTCTCCCAACTCTAGTGACTCGAATACCTTAAAGGCAGCTCTGTCTATCTTTTCCTTTATCTTGGGTTTCAACTCCCTCTCTCCACCATTTTTGACTTTTTCCACCCAGGCTGAAGACCATTCTGCCTTGCAGAGAAAACAGTAGCAAAAGGAAAGTTGAGAAGGACCATAGCTCATAGGATCCACAGGCTGATTGATTTAGAGTTGGAAGGGGCCTTAATGGCTAGCTAGTTCATTTCACAGAAAAAAAAAAAAACCTAAATCAAGGCAAAGTGTTGAATCTGGGATTTCAAATCCAGCGCACTTTCTGATGCCCTGAACTCTGCTTTCTGACCTTTGACCATTATAATCAATTCATCAACCATAAACAGGGGTCTTTTCTGATAGTTTATAGCCACTAACAAAGTTAATTGTTCATGCCTTTGAGGGGAACTGCTCATCTGAACCTTATTCTGAACAACAAGAAGAATTGGTTGCAGAAGCAAAAATGGCAGGCACCTTGGGAGGATGTAACTGCTACATTTAAAGTTAAAGAAATATCAGGAAAGGAAAGCTAGGCATTATCTGACATGTATCCTAGATTTGGGGAAACCAGATTTCAAAGGATCCTTACAGAAAGGATAGGTAAGGTTCTACAAGAGGGCACAGTGGATAGAGTACAAGTCCTAGAGTCAAGAAACTGGAGTTCAAATCCAGCTTGAGACACAGTATGACCCTGATCAAGTCACTGTCTGCCTCAGTTTCTTCATATGTAAAGTAGGGATAATAATAGTACCTATCTCCAAGGATCGTGAAGAGAAAATGAGATAATTGTGTAAAGCTCTTTGCAAACCTTCAAAAAAAAAGTTCTATATAAATGCTCGCTATTATTATTATTTGTATTTGTAATGCTATTGTTCATCGTATTTATCTCTAGCCTCCACTACTTTTGGGATTTCTTTTTTTTTTTTCTTTTGGCTAGGCAATGGGGTTAAGTGACTTGCCCAGGGTCACACAGCTAGTAAGTGTTGTGTGTAGGAGTACAGATTTGAACTCAGGTCGTCCTGAATCCAGGGCCGATGTTCTATCCACTGAGCCATCTAGCTGCCCCCTAGCCTCCACTACTTTTGAACTTAATGTTCTTGGTATTCTTCTTAATCACCATTTACCTGCTGTCTTCTATGCCCTGCCATCTCTTATAGATTTTTTTAAAATTTAAGTTGGTCAAAGAGTCATCACAGTTTTTAGCAAGAACAGGTCATGCCTGACTAACTTCATTTCCTCATTTTTTTTCATAGCTGCTAGGCTGGTAGATAAGGAGAATTCTACAGCCAAAATTTACTTAGACTTTAGCAAGTATTTGATTAAGTCTTACATGCTCTTCTTGTGAAAATGATAAAGACACCATGTTAATATGATGACTAAGCTTAGCCTTGAAGAAAAGTTGAGAAAATGTTCTTCCCTCCCTTCATTTGCAGAGATGGGATACTAAGCTTGTGTATCATTAAGTGTCAGAGTTAATTTACTCAATTTAATTGTCAAAAGGGGTAATAGCCCTGTTGGCCACACACTGCCCTTCCCCAGCCCAGCCGTGGAGGATTCTGCCTTCCTGCTTCAGGAAGGTTATTTCAGGATTGTGCTTTTCAAACTGATAATCAGGATGCCTGGAGGGTCTAGAGTAAATTCCAAGAACCATGACCTCTTAACCTCCTTTACTACTGTTATTGTTCAATTCACTCTTCATGACCCCATTTGGGATTTTCTTGGTAAAGATACTGGGGTGGTATGCCATT